TCCCATACTTCACACTACATTTAGATACTATACATTTCATTAATTATTGTCTATATTACAGGCCGTAAAACCATCTCATTGCTCTTTCAACTTGAAATTTCCGATTACTGTAATTCCAAATGTACCGTGTCATGTTTACTATATAGTTTATGTTACATTTGGTGAACTCTACTTTGTGTCCTTTACTACAAAATGGAATGTGTGGGAACAAAATTGGTTTTGTACAAGAGTATCTTTTCCTTGTCTAAGATCTGTTTGAATTAGGCAAGTCACATATTCACTCCAACAGTACAATGTCTGTGTCTGTTTCACAGTAGCAATACAATGTGAATAGAATCACACTCATATCTCCCATGATGAAACTGATGCCTTATGTACAGCATTTTGCATTGAAAAATCATTTTTTATCTTTTCAGCTACGTAGGGTCAATTTCTCTTTGTATGTTGTATAGCTTCCAATTGCATCTAGGAGTCTTATTTTTCATTAGTTTTGGGATACAGGTGTGTTTTGGTTACTTGAGTAAATTCTGTAGTGGTGATTTCTGAGACTTTGGTGCACCCTTACCTGAGTGGTATACATTGCACCCAGTATGTACTCTTTTATCCTTCACCCCCTTCCACCTTTCCCTCTGGGTCCCCAAAATCCATTATATCATTCTTATACCTTTGGATCCTCATAGCTTAGCTCCTACTTACGAGTGAAAACATGTGATACTTGGTTTTCCACTCCTAAGTTACTTCACTCAGAATAGTGGCCTCTGGCTGCATCCAAGTTGCTGCAAAGGCCATTATTTCATTCCATTTTATGGCTGAGTAGTATTCCACGGTGTATATATACCACATTTTCTTCATGCGCTCGTTGGCTGATGGGCATTTAGTGGATGGGCATTTAGCTGATGGGCTTCGTATTTTTGCAATTGCGAATTGTACTGCTATAAACACGCATCTGCATCTGTCATTTCCATGTAATGACCACTTTTTCTCTGGGTAGATACCCAGTAGTGTGATTGCGAGATCGAATGGTAGTTCTACTTTGAGTTCTTTAAGAAATGTAGGAGTCATTTTAATATAGGTAATTGAATTACGGTTAATTCTCCATCCAGTTTTCCACATTGGTTACTTACTACTGCCGATTTGAGGCCATTTTTCATTTATATTACTTGATCATTTTATTCACTGTCACATCTCTAACAGTATATGCTGTTTTGAATGCATGTTATGTGAACAGTTTAAAATTCTCAAAGTATAATTCTTTGTTGAAGCATTTGTAACTTTTACATAAGCCCTTATATGATCTGTGTTTTGATTTTTAAATCATCATCTCTTGTGTTTTACTAATACATATTTTTCTTCTTGTGAGATACAATCTTATATAAACTTTGTGGATAGAAAGATGTTAGGAAACAGTTACATGGTCTGTTATGCTTAGTGTATCATTTTTGCCGAGACCAGCTCGGTCGGGGGGACCTAGATGTGCACCTGGTGCCTGATGTTCTCCAGGGGCCTAGGTATCCACCTGGGGCCTGGTGTCCCCCCAGGGCCTGATGTCCATTTGGAGTCAAGTGTGCAACTGAGG